GGGCTGGAGACGGGACGGGGCCTGGCCCCTCAGTCCCCCCAGGGAGCTCTCATGGTTGAGGAGAGACTGGAACCCAAGTCTCCCCACTCTTGGTCCATCTCCTTCCCCACTGGGCCACACTGACTCTTGGGCTGAGGGAAGTCATTAGCCCAAAGTCATCCAGTTGGCTTTGTGCCTAAGGCCGGTCTAGAACTCACCATTTCCTGGCTTCTAATCCAGCACCTTCTCCACTACCCCACACAGGCTGAGAGGGACATTGACTGGCCCAAAGCCACCAGTTGGCCTTCATCCATAAGGGAGGACTAGAACTCACCGTCTCCCAGTTTCTAGTCCGGCCCCTCCATCACTACACCAAACTTCATCTCCCAGGCTGCCACGTCCATGTAGCAAATTCCCTCTCCTGGAGGAGCCGTGAAATTCTGCCTGCGCTCCAGAAGACCTCTAGTGCCATGAGGTCCTTCCAAGAGTACGTTGCCCAAGATCCGTTTCCCCACGAACAGCATAAAGTCTAGAGCAGTTCCACCACACGTATGTGTCAAAAAAAACACTTTTGTCTCCTGTGCCTGAATCCACCCCCCACTCCCCTTCCTCAGGTTCAAGCTGAGATGAAACGCAAATGGCGAAGGTGGCATCTGGAGCGCTTCCTCGGCTCTGACATGAAGTACCACCATCCCTCTGTAGGAAGCAGTGGGGCGAATTTCAGCACCCAGATCTCCATGCTGGCTACGTGTAGTCCAAAAACTCGCCACTGTTCCAGTTTCCAAGCCGACTTGTCTCTGGTTTGAGACGCAAAAGCAGACGACTGAAGGACAAACGCGTCTGGTGGAAGATGGAAGCAATCCGTCGCGGCAGGATCTGGGCATCCAGGGGGGAAGGTGGCGTTTGGGATGATTTTATTTTATTTTTTTTAAGCCATTCTTTTGCAACCAAACTGGGACAAAATACGGGGACTGGGATACTCTGAACAAGAAGCACGAAGTCTGGACAGAATCTCCCTTTTTCAGTCCTTTAATTGAAGGCATTGCTCACATTTGTGAAGGTCACGCAGAGATATGACTTGAGGGATGCAAGAATCTGCTTTTGCCAAGATGATCTGCCAGCTTCTTCTGAGCTGGCTTGCGTGGCCATAAACAAATGCAAAATCAGCTGTGAAAAACAGAATCATTTGCCAGCAGATTCCACCAGAAAGGACTTGAAGAAAAGTTTGAAGGGGGATTGGTTTTCCTCGGGCCACTAGAACCCAAAACCTGTTCCTTTCTTTTCCTAGCGAATTTCAGAACCCAAAAAAGCTTCTCCATTCAGTGGGAGATCTTTCTGACTTTACACCAGTGTTTCTCAACCTTGGCGGCTTTCAGAGGTGTGGACTTCAACTCCCAGAATTCCCCAGCCAGCAAGGGAATTCTGGGAGTTGAGGTCCACACCTCTGAAAGCCGCCAAGGTTGAGAAACACTGCAGTACACTGATTGGTGGAAGGAACGTACAGTACTTTGAGGGCTGAAATACTAGCTTCTAAACCATAGAAATTAGAAACTGCTGGTCCTAGAAGTGAATATGATTTTTCTGCACCCAAAGCATATTTGTTCTTAGGGTTCACTTGCTTAGAAAGAGTTCACATTGTGTGTTATCAACCTGCAAGCTGCACTTCTTGATAAGCCACAAGGCCTTTCCCACTGCTCAGCCGAGGAAGAAATGGTTTGTGAAGGAGTTAAGTCTTTCTGCTCAAGCTGTTGGATCATTCCAGGGGACACTGAGCAACCAGGCCTGGAAGATTCTTCTCCCAACCCCGAGTGAGCAACATTGACCATGTTTCAGTGGTGATAATCTTCTGGGCTAATATGCCATGATCCAATTATTTGGTGTCCTGATGTTTTGCCCAGAAGTTCATCACCATTGGATGGGTGCTGGCTACCTACACTGATTATAGATTGTTTTTGTTTTCTGTATGTTTGTTGATGCATCTCTGGAGGACACTAACCAAGGATGGTGAAAAGACTGTTGCTTTCTATCTCCTTCCTTGTTGCTCCGGCAAATCTTATAAGGATGAAGGTTCAGAAGAAGACATAATGGAAACCAAAACTGAAGACTTGGACATTTTGGAGAACTTACAAACTCTTGCTGACTGTTTTCCATGTGGAAGCTGAAGAACACCTAACTATGATGTTCAACCAACCCTCATTCACAGCACCATTGTTCTCCATTCTGGCTTCTATCTTGTAAATATTCTAGACATGTCCAGACTACAGTTCTGAAAACTGAACAGACTGATGCTTTTCATGGTATTCCTTATTTCTACAGGTTATCATTTTTCAATAAGGTTGCCATTTTTGTGTCTCCTGGCCATTGAGCATTCAAAGACTTCTTGTTTCTTTTGACCTTTGAACCTCTGTTATTTATTGAGCCAGAACTGTAAATATTAGCTTTCCATTGGTTCATCTCAGGTTTTGCTTTTTTATTTTTTTAATTTCTGAATAGTGGGATGGAGATAAGTAGGACAAAGTGATTTTTGTGATTACCATTGCCAAGAAAATAAAGTTACTGCACATGATAAACTCTACTTTGGAGAAAATGGTGAGTGTATGCTTTCTGGCACTGAGTTCCTATTAGGATAAAGCATTTATGTAAAATTTATAGTGAGCACATTATTTTCCTTCATGAATTTCCAGCTTTTGTTGGTACAAAATAAGAGAGGGGAAATGTTACAGACTGAAAATGAGGAAGAGTGGGTAACCCCAAGGACATGTCTATAAATGAGGGGAAAAAGAATTAATGGGGCAGCTATCGATATTTATATTAATAAGGTCATAAGAACAGAAGCCGAGCCCTACTGGACTGGACCTCTGGCCATGTAGTCCAGCAAAGTGGCCCACCAACTCCCCAAGGAACTCCACAAGTCTCCCAGCAGATGGCCTTCAGAGGAGGAGAAGGAGGAGG